AAACCAAATGAAAACGGTATCCTCTGTCTAAAATTTCTAAGAAATTACTTAATTTTGGTATAAAGGAATAGAGTCAGAGAACGATAAATAAAACATTAACGAAGAGATGTATAGAATTTCATTCTTAATGGACAAAAATTTGTGAAAAAACGCTGCTAAAAATCTTTTAACATTATCAACAAAAAGAATCAAAGCATAGAATAGTTTAATAATGGCATCGCATTCAAATTAAGTTTTTGGGAAAAAGAAAATTTCAGTACAAACATTATCAATCAAAAGAAGGAAAAATTGTCTAACCCAGTGTTTTTAAACTTTTGGTCTTGCGATCTTTTTGAAAGTTCGAGACAGAAAGAAATAAATGTTTTGGGACTCCCTGTGCAAAACTGAGATAAGTTTTGGCTTGCCTGTTGAAGTGAATACAAGTTTGGATACAGAAGACTTAAAAATATTATTTGTGATAAAGGTTGTTTATGAAGGTATTGATTTGTAAAGTGTTTATTCGTGGTGGCGTTAAAAATCAAGTATATATATATCTTCTTTAACCACTTGCTTTCATCTATTTGCCACGTAAGGACAAGCTTGTAATGGGAAAACAAATTGTCCCATCGTATTAGTATATAAATCCACCAATATAACAAATCAATCATTATCTAATAACAAATATAACAAATCAATATAAGCAAATCGCTCAATTTCTTTAAAATATGCTTTTGTTTTGAGTCATACATAATGTATGTAATTTTGAGACCCTCGCAATTTATCAACTTGGCACTCCCGGGGTAGCCATTCCCAGGTTGAGAAACACTGTGCCGACAGAAGCTAAAAAAGCAGTAGATCCGGAAGGTAGGCCACCCACCAAATGATACAAAAAAAGAACATAAACGAGAAAAAGATGTTTAATAAGATAACATTGAAGCCAATATGCCGAAATTAAATTCCACGGTTCAAACCATTTAATAGATATAGGTAGAATATAAAATAAACATAGCTATTGATAAGTAAATGGGAATAAAACATAAAATCATAATTTATAAAATTGGAATAAATAAAACATTGCAAGAATATCTATAATTTTAATCCATTTAAAAATATCTAATTAGCATATTATATTTAAAATAAAGCAATTTGTAATATTAAAATCAATAAATTTTTAAAAAAAAGGCTTAGCATGTCCAAATAATTTCCTTAAATAAATTACTAATTCCAGATGGTAGGAAATATAAATATATATACGCCGAAGAGCCATTACATTATGACCACCCGGCTAATAATATGTAGGATCACCTTTAGCCCTCAAAACTGCTGGCACCCACCATGGCATTGATTCCACAAGGTGCTGATAGGTAGTCTGAGGTATCTGGTACCAAGAGCTCACCAACTGGTCTTGCAATTCCCTCACATTGAGAGGGGGTAGCGTGGCAGCACGAATTTGGTTTTCCAAGTAGGACCANTTATTTGGCTTATTATTCTAATTGAGAAGTTGCTGTTTTAAGAAGAAAAAAAATATTTTAAGAAAATTGAAGGCCTTAGAATAAAACAAGGATTTATAGCAGAAAAATGCACAACTCACAGTTTCTTGATTTAGCCATCATTTCAATTTAAATATGTCAAATCAGAAGAATATTAAACCAAACCAACAATCCTAATGTATAAGTTAGAAGTATTTTATAAACACAGAACTTATTATTTAAAATATTAACAGCAGAAAGAAATCTTCTCAATAATGTGACAATTTAATATTTTTTTAACCAATTTTGCATTTGTAACATCATTTATATGTTTTTATTAGCAAGAGATAAGCGCGATAAATATTTTTGTTGACTTCATTTTGAAGAACTAATAAGATTTTTTTTAAAACTTAAATAAACAATTCCTGTTGGGAACAAGAAAAAGAAACAAAAACTCATATTTTAAGTTTGAAAAAAAAAACTTTTTTAATCAAGATGAATGTCGCTTTTTCTCCTTCAAGCGTAGGAAGTGTACTTAGACGTGGGCGTCATCTTTGTTTTAGAATGCTACTAAAAATAGAGCAACTACAAAAGCTCTTAACAAGATTAAAAATAATTGAAAATAATGAATGTCAAAGAATCTTCTTCTCTGTATTAAATTATAATTTCATTACTATTTGCTTCCAAGTGTGTTTGTGCTGTATTTTAAAAGTTCCTTTTCGACAACACTGTTAAAATGATTCGGAGGAAATGGTTAAATAACAATTTATTTTATTGTTATTTTACCAAATTCCACCAAAACAGATAAAAAAAAATCATAAATAATGGTATTTAAACTACTAACTGTGGTGAGAAAAACCGTTTATTAACTGCTGTCACCAAAAACAACCTGAATTTTATCGTACCAACTGAGTTCACCTAATGAAGCCATTTATTTCATATAGCTGTGTACATATTATAGTCGAGAAGGTCATTCTCATGATTAACAGAACGAGGATTCGAGTTCCAGCGTTCGACAGCACAATAGTTCCTCCATTCCCTTCAACACGTGAAGAGTTTCCAGTGTCTTTTACTCTCCTATTTGAGACCCTGAACTATTAAAATACGATACTCTCATTCACGCGTAGATGGAAGCACCATAAAGCGGTTAGTATTTCTATGCCAGTTGTGAATGGTTAAAAAAACGTATAGTTTTGTATTCATGGTTTCCTAACCATACTAGTTGCAAACGGTTTCAAAACCGTAAATGTAAAAAAATGTTCTTCACCGTAAATTTGACGTTTAATTAGATGGACAGACAACTGCCAGTTATTTTACCATAATTATAGAATGAAAATTTCAACAGTGAAGTGTACTTACCGGTTTTTCTATAACCTTTATTGAAACATGAATAACTCATCTAAGTGAAATTTAATGTTATTGGGAACTATTTTTTTATTTTATTAATCTGTTTTTACAAAAAATTTGTTTTGTTTGTAAAAACAGATTGAATGATTACCATTTACCTTGGTGTGGTGTTTAAAATATAGAAAGACAAATCATCTTAAAGTGCAAAATTTTTTTCAAAGTAACAGCTACAGATAAATAAAAGTTAATAACGTAGTGTTTCAAAGATGTAAATAGATAAATTTAAATTAACTTTAAAAACTTCCTCGAACATAATGTAAAATCTTAACGAAATTAACTGTTCATGAAATTTTAAGCTTGCTTTATTATGTTACAGAATTGGTAGATAAATACCTTACAATAATTTTCTTACTAGATGAACAGTAGAAAGATAATAACTCTTCGTAAGCTCTTATTTTATTTCCTAACTTAACTTAAGAGTATTTTTTTACATTCTTATCTCAAAAATTGAAAGAACATTGAGCAAAATGGGCTAAGAAATGATTTTTTTTTAAAATTAGACAGTTAAAAAGTTGTTTGAAAGAAACATGAAGCCAATAAAAAAAATACTTAAGATTTTATGAAGGCATTCTGTTAATCTAGGTTTTAAGTTAATAGAATACGTATCCAGTAAGTATTGATGTTACACGAAGAAAAAGAATTATGGTAAAATTACCGTACTGAATAGGAAAAAAAACATTTCTGGTAAAAGAAAAATCATAAATCAGTTAATAAACCAAAATAACCTCTAAATCATTCATTTGGTAATTTTTCAGTTCATATGGTAACGGTGGTTGTTTACCAGAAATTCTGGTTTTCAAATGATAGTTCTTTTTACCACATATTTGCTAAATATTACAAAACTGAAAAATAAATTTAATCGCATAAATTATTTTTATGATTAACAACTGTAAGGTATCATGATAAACGCACGGATATCACATTTACCGGATTTTAAAACAATATTTCATTACTAATTTTAGCAAAATAATAATCAAAACCCTTCGGTAAAAATTATTGTGCTTTTTGGTGTTCCCATGGAGTCAGAGTAGTTTTGCCTTTACTTTTTTATCTTAGTGCATGTATACCTTCATTTGCATTCAGACATCTCTCTTATAATTAAATTTAATTTTTCAGAAAAATCTATTATTATATTTGCGATATAAAGAGATTACAGATTACTCCTAAATTATCGATTAAAACTCTTTAAACACTTCCGGAAAAATTGGTTGCGCATTACATTATATCTGCAATTAGAGTCACCATACAATGCAAATTTGCTTCAACCTTAAGTTATTATTTGAGCAATGGTGTAGTGCAATCAAGTCTGAGAATTACAAAAATATAGCAGCAAATACGAACAAATTTATAGTTCAACGCGCTTAAAAATTTCAAACGAAAAGTTGAAAACATTATTAAAGTTATTAGATTCATTCAATAGAGAAGCGAATACTCATTCCACGACGAAGCGAGTACACATTCCAATTTTTTCCACCGAAAAGTTTTTGAACAGAAATTACCAAAGTCACTCCAGTATGAAATTAAATATACACTAGTTATTACTTCAGTGGCTTTTTCTTGATAAAAGACGTATTTAAATAACATTACTCAAAAGGAATGAAATTTAATTCAAAAAATAATAAACAAATTTAGTTTAAAAAATTCTTTGAGGTATTAACGAAATTAAACCGATCCCATTATTACTTTTCTTATAAATAATACAAATTATGTTCTTAAATTAATTTTTTTAAAAGAAGAAAAAAACACTTGCCTTGGGTATTGCATCTATTCAAGAATGTTTTATTTAAAGCGAATCTAAGGAAACACAGATTAGTTTTTTTTATGCAATACAAAAAAAAAAACATTTCAATCATTTTATACGAATGATATTAATTTTAAATGCGAAAAAATTCACCTGATTTAACAATTGAATTTCAAGAACCTACTAAAACTGTATTTTAAAGGTCTATATTTTTTGGTGCTGACAATGCTCCTGCTATTACACTCACAATTTATTGAAATCCTTGAATTTTTAACACTTTAATTTCATACATCTGTACACAAAGATCGTTAAAAAAACTTCTTTCTTCTGTTCAGAGGATTTTTTATTATCACTGAAAAATCAAATCATAGAATTAAGAATATTCACAAAATTAAATAACTCACCTAAACAAGTGACGTCCACAATTGACAAGGATCCCAAATTGTTTTGGAAAGTTTCCGCCGACATAGTTGTTTTTTTACGAAAAAGCACTTTATACATTTGTCTCATATTTTCACCCATTGTAGTTTCAAAGTTCAATACAAGACTACTTGAACGTTTAGTTTAGATGCTTCTTTGATGTGTTCGTTAATTTGTTGAGAATAAATCATGCATAATATTTCTAACAATTATACTTTCTTAACATTGTTTAGAGTATTATTACCGATTATTAAAGTTTCCTTAGAGTTTTAGTTAAGTTTTTTCGTAACAGAAAACTTTTTTATTTCAACGGAAAACACAGAATTGATAATTGACCAACTGTTGCGCTCAATAAGTTTTAAAAATTACAACCTTGTAATTGGTAATTACAGGAAAAAAAGTAATTATATAAGCTTCTGAAGAAATGTACGTTTAATGAAAACTTTTTTCAAAAGTTTGAAATTCCAGGTATGTTTACAAAAATCTGTTAATTACTTCACACATTAATTTAACGGCGTATCAGATACCAACTGTTGAATCCTTAAAAAAAATTATTTAAATTTATATATCTCGGAAATTGAAACTTAACCAGAACTAATTAATAAACTATTTTTTAAAATTCTTGATGAAGCATTTTTTTAAATTCGAACTTCTGCGGCACCATCTCAAAAGGTACGCTGTCACTTTAAATGGAAGAATGGATAATGTTGCCACCTAATTCATAATTTCTCACTTCGGCAGCATCAGCATTTCTTTCAAAGAACTCTGTGCCACAAGATTTCCGTACGTGACAGAGGACAATCAGGCTGAACTGTATCGGCAGGAAGAAAACATCTGGAGCGCGTGAAACTATTTGTGAGTTGAGCGGCAGGATGGAAAGGAAGAGGGAAGAGCATCGGTATTCCGATCACAGCGCCTCTGTAGGAATCACTCGGCGATCGAAATTGAAAATCGTTATCACCGGCACATCTTTCCGATTCGCTTTTTTATTTCTTTATTTCTAGATCTCGGATGTTTCCTTTGAATCGAAGATGAGCGGGGTATGTTATGAGGAAAGGATTAAATCCCAGAATGTTATTGAAGTGAAAGACGAGTTTTCTTTAAGAATGAACTTCAAATAATAAAAAAAAGACCGTTCTTCCTATTGCAATAAATTGCTATTTATGAACTCCTTTATAAGTTTTCTTTTCATTTTTCCCTTCCAGAAAAAAAGCTTCAGTCAGCATTCATTATCTTACTTTTTAGTTCCTTTTTTTTTTTAACGACTCGGCTGTAGAAGTTATTTTTGCAGAACTCATCATAACTATAAAAGGGGAGAAAAAATAAGATAGTGACCGATAAAAAGATATAAGTGGAAAAAAGTAAGTTACTATAAAGTCGATAGAATTACAAAAGCTTTATTTTTAATCAAAAGATATTGATTGAAAAAAAGATCAAGAATTTTTAATGAAAATATATTTTAATTTGATGCGTATTATTATAAAAAAAAGTATTGATGTATTATTATTTAAAATTTAATTTATTTTTGATGTATTATTTATAAAATTTGATATATCATTATAATTATTTACTATTATAGTTAGATTTATTATTAATATTATTATAAAAAATAATTCATTATAAATTGGGCTATTTTTTATCAATTTGTTTAGCATTTAATCTTTAGCATTTTTAGATACTTTTTGTAATTGAAAATGTAATGAAAACTGAAAAATTATATCCTAATAAATTGCATTGATTATTAATCATCAAAAGTACATCTTAAAATAATTTTCAAAAATTGTGGTAATTTTTTTTTCATAAATCAGTTACAAATGTTTTTATATCATTTTAATACATGAAAAAAGTCATTCTATACGTGTGTTGCTATGTGAAAACAGTGTGTGTGTTAATTAAATCATAAACATATTTTGAAAAACACAGCTTTTCGAGGTTATTAATAATCTTGTTCTTCATAAACATTTAATTTGCCCCCTATTCGATTTCAAAAGCAGTTTTACTTGTTAAATAAGAGATTCTTTCAGGCTCTTACAGTTTCCAACAATTTCTTCATCACTATACTACACGTGTATCAATAAACAAAAGAGGCGTTTCTGTTCTCCATCCATTCTTACGAGCCTTTGTTTGTATATATTCAATAGATTCTGAACGGGAATAAGATCTGGAAAGATTCCTGGCCTCTCCAACAACTTTGTTTTGGGCAAAGTATTTTTCCTTTATTTTCCAAAAGTTATAGCAAGGAGCCAAATCTTGTCAAAAAATTCAATTATTGGATAAAAACCTCTGTTTGACCCTGGCTTCTTCTTTCTATCATTATTTTATTGTACTGGTCGCTGTTTATCATTTCTTCAACTGAAACGATTGGCCGTACGCCAATATTTGAATAATACCCCCAGAACATTTTAAAAAGAAAATTTTCGTAAAGTTTTGAAATTAAAAAATTTATCTATTCTTCAAGGATTACACACTGTACAATAATGTAGTAAGCACAAAGGTTCGTTTAGATTAGAGATGACAGAAACACTCCTTAAAACTCAATAAATTTGAGTAGAAACGTACAGAAGATACAGCTATTTATAGCACTTAATTACAGTTCAAATAATAGCTCTGTACAGCAAAGCATAGGCTTTACAACCTCAGATTGGTCTACGAACTAACTTAAAACAGAGCAGTACTACAGTCACAAGAAAAGTAATAATCTTTGTCAAGGTATTTTTATAGGCCTGATGTGGAAACTCCGGAACTTTCGACAGCAATCTCCCCGACAGATTTAGGAATAGCTGAAAAATTCTGATTGCTTAAGTTACTGAAAAACAATAATTTTTATCAAAAAACTAACACAGACACCTAATACGAAAGTACCCTCAAGAAATGCTGATTGTAGAATTGTATTGGTATAATGTTGTCACAAGAAAAAATAAAATAAAATCCTAGGATAAAGCCGGTTACATTTTTGCTATTCTAATTGGGTGACGACCTTGCATTTTACATTTTTCGAAAAACACTTGCAATTCAACGATGATTAAAACCAGCTTTTGAATTTTCCTTTTTAACGTTTGAGTTCGTTCAGGAGGAAAGACTTCTTAAGAATAACGCTAGTCCTACAATTCCAAACAGCTCTACCCTGTAGAAATAGGCTGTTCCATATCTTTTGCAGGTGGCTACGGTTAGGTAAGGGGATGTAAGTCGGCATTTTTCCTGAAATAAATACAGCAGACATAATTTATTTTCAATTTCAGAATTTGGAAATCGGAAATAAAATAATACTATTCTGATAACAAAGTGCATTTAAAAGCATTTCGACATTTTGCAATGATTTTTATTTCATATTCTTATATGTTTTCATTTTTCTTCAGTGTTTGGAATAAGTCACGACGAATTCTACGCAATTTAGATTAGAAAAAAATTTCAGCATAGGAAACACCTGGCGATGGTATTTCATTACAAAAAAAATATCAGTGTACGGAATACCGGGTAAGTGTATGTTGGGCAGTGGCATTTTACCTTACAATGATTACCAATCAGTGATGAGAAAACGATAGATTTCCTATCCTTTTAAAACTGCAAAAGTAAGACAACAGTTCTTCAGTAAGACATAGGTAGCTTCAAATAAAAGGACTAGTGCTGCACGTGCAAGCTTGTTGTTTTGTAATCTTGCGCCTAGGACCATTATAGAAAAGCAAAAGTTTAGACGAAGCTGTAAACCGCGGTAGTTCATGAAACACAAATCATTATTAGTATTTCTTTTTAATTTGTTATGATTTTAAATAATACTATGCATAACTGAAGTTAAAAATATCTTAGGTCCTTTTTTTCCAGTAAAAATCACTAAAATTTTTATCTGATTGCATGAATTTTAAAACATAGCAACTTTAGCATTTATTGATTGTTTAAACTCTACTGACAACATTCATTGGAACTACAACAAACATCATTGATTTCTGGGTAGTTAATTCATAGAGATTTTAATTGGAATTATAAATTCTACAAGAAACTCCAAGGAATGAATTCCAAGAGGAACAATATTTCACATCTGGACCTAATTAATATCTAAAAATAAAAAGGCCCTGCTGCTTTCTTATTATTGCGGTGCCTATTTTTCTAGACAAGTCAAAATCTCCCTTAGTTAAGTTGATTTAAGTTGACGAGCATTTAACCCCTTCCTTCTCGCCCCCGTGAAAATGACGGGGTGAGGTTTCACCCTCTATTTCTCTCTCCCGTGATATTGACAGGCTGGAGTGATCAGTAGTAACGTGCCAATAATCATTAAACTAATTAATATCTCTTGCCCGGAAAGCATTTTATTTCTCATTTTCCACACCAGATGGCAATACCGGGATATTTTTAAGATAATTGTAGTTAGTTTATTTTAAACTAGATGTCAGCAATAATCAAATGCGTAATACAAATACAAAAGTCAAAAAAATGGGCACTTTTGCGACCGTTTTCCTGAAAATTAACCGATCGTTAAGGAGTGAACAAAGATGGCGGGATGATTTGAGGTGGATTTCAAGTAAATGATACATTTTTAATTGTTTCGTAAGAAGTATTTTCTCCTTTTAATGTCGAAGTCGTATTTCCATGAATTTTGCCAGAAGAATATTTTGCAATAATAAAATTGAGGATTATGAGCAATAGCTTTTTAAGTTAATTTAGCAAAAATAACTAAGCGTCACTTAGAACCGTCTTCCACTAAACTTTTTAATTCAGTAATTCGTATTCTTTTTTGTTTGTTTATTCTATTTACTGATAGTAAAATATTCCATAGAAGGAAGAGAAAGAAATATAAATAATTCAAAATACTTTTCTATTTCATTTTGAGTACTTCATAACAGATTGGCTGAATTATTCATTTTAAATTAATCTGCTTCAAAAAAAAAAAGAAAAAAAAAAAAGAAAAATAACACAACGAATGTCATCCAGGCAAATTTGGATACGCAACAAAATCCTTGTCAAATATAATAATGTCATGAAGTGAAAGAAATAAATATCGTAGAATATGGAAAGTTAGCATAGCCTTGAAACTTATGTGCTTTAATAGTAATTAACAACTATCGATTGTGTTTAAAGTACTCCTCCCAAAATGACTAAGAGTTCGAACCGTAAGTGTTTTCCGATGTTCTTCTTATTACTGAAGACAATTACTGAAGTTCAATGAATAGTTCCTTAAGACATAACCTAATCAATCTTTCTTTAAAGACCATTGCTAACTATGAAAATACCTAAATTTAATTGAAGGTTAATTGACTTGACTTCATTAATCGCTATTTTCTTAAAGTTGCCATTAGACAAAAGGCTTTTCGTTGCTCCAAAGCTTAAGGGCAGTAAATTATTCAAAAAGAACATAGTGTAGGGTAATAATAATTCAAATTACTCTGTTTAGTCCACTTTTACAGATTCTGTTTGACGGAAATGGATGAAACTTGGTATATCTGTTATATGGATCGTGGGAAAAGGAAATTTGCAATAAAAATTGTTCGAATATTGACCATCAAGTGAGAAAAGAGCGCATGTAACAAGCAAAAAAACACAAATTGGCAAAACTTTGTTATTAAATCTAAGCATTTGTTTAACCTTTTGCTTACGGCTGGTACAACATGTGAACCACAGGTGATGGTACAATATGGAACACCGTAATCAAAGGGCTAATGACTATTCAATTTTCAGCAGACAGAAGTTCGAAACGCATCACAACGAGTTCAACTGTTGCAGAAACAAGCTCAATATCAATTTAGAATTCCGTACTCTTCCTTGGGACGACTTCCTTGCCTTCTACTTCCAATCTTTTCAAATTTGGTAAGCATCAACTCCCTATAATAGCATTTTTATTATAACTGGCTCTGTGCAACCGACATATTTA